GATATGTCACCTGTTTAATCCTCCCATGTGACCTCCAGTCAGCTGGTTCTGGTATACAGTGTGTTCCAACTGTTCATCTAAATACCACCCTTTGAAAGAATCAGGGACTCAGCTACAATGGGCACTTTTAAGTCTAGCCTAAAAACTTTCAAAGGCTTTTTGAGGTGGTTTTATCTCCTGAATCTACTTTGTTACCATGGCTTTATACATTTCTTGACACTTATTTTGTATAAGGCTGTATTTTACAAATTGAGGATTGACAGAGGTTTGCTTTTAAATGTGCAATACCAAAAAATCTTTATTATTATGAAATAAGATTTAAAGGCCATGAAAGACAGAATGAAGAACCACATCTCATCTCTGACAGGGAGACAAATTGTTACTTACTGACACACTATCAATCATTCTAGGTCCACTCTCCAAAGGTCAGGAGAACTTACTTATTTCCTCTCATTCTTTGGAAATATTAAGCAAACAAAATGGTAAAATATGATTAGGCAAAGAATGCCTTCATTAAATTCAAGGAAGAATTGTCTCTCCACCCACCTCTTCTTTTTTTAATGGCAAAGATTTATCTCGCAGGGAATTTGAACACACAATCACTGTATTCCAAAACTACGAGGCATTTACCAGTCTCTCTTGTTTATTTAGCTCCCCTGTTAGACCAAACAATCAAGCTCCTGCTGAGGGCCTGTGGAGGTCAGCGCACAGATGAACTTCTTAAGGCGGTAGGCTGTCTAGTCTTTGGCCTGGCTGAACATGCTTCAATATGGATTAGACTCCATTTGGCCTTAATTAGTTTTCCAATTTGGAAAATGATATCCGTTGATAACTTTGCAGATACAGACAGCATTTAAGTACCAAAACACAACAAAGTCACTTATTTGGGACCTGAGCCAAGGAACAGATGCTGAAAGAATAAACCTCTTTTCAGTAGGATACTAATAAGGCTACCCAGACAAGAAAGGCCTGACGCATGCACCAACCACAATTACAAGGCTCTAAAGCTAGGGAGTGCCGTTTTCTTTCCTGCCATTAGAAGTAGCAATTGGGATATTACAGAAAAGAAGGGATTTTTTTTGGGTTCAGGCGAGGCTCTTAAGTTGGCCTCTGGCTTCACATGCTTTTTTGGGACAATCTTAATGTTTTCACATGAATTTGCTCTTACAAAAAAAAAAATGATGCCCCTCTTCAGTCTTGTGTTGGAATTGTGATTCAAATGTTACATCATGTTAGTTTAGGGCTGGGAGTCTAGATTCGTTCTATATGTGTAAGGACTGTAGTGTTTACTAGAGCACTGCATATTTAAATTCTTAACAACTTCTTCTCAGATTTAATCTAGGTGGATTATCATGGTTGTTTGAAGGCTCTCCTACACACTAATTGTATAGTTTTCCCCATAAAAAGTACTATGAACATACAGAAAATCTTTAAACTTTAAACTATAAAAATATAATTGAACAAATTAGCAAAGTCTGTTTAAAATAAAGGACATTTGTCTCATACGAATAATAGCTTTTATACTACTCTCGATTTCTACCCTATTATCTTTCCTTTAACATGATCATATCAGCTGCTACCTTGTCAGGAAACGCAGACTGAAAATAGGTGGATGTGATCATATCAGTAGCAAAGGTAAAATGACAGAGTTACTCAAAGACAATGGATAACATCTGGTCTCTCGTCTCTTTTCTGGGATTAGGCATCTCCCAGTCAACAGGTGCTGTGGTATCATCTTACCAGTGTGTCAAAACAGGCCCAGAGAACAAGTCAGAATTGCTGACTTCAGACAACCTAACTGACCCCTTCCAGCAGGGAAACGAGATCCCCAAAAATATAACCTAACCTGAACTCATTTTATGCAAGTAATTGCTAATATCCAGTTTCCAACAGAACTACTCAACCTCATCATGGAAAAATCAGAAGATGAATGTGAGGGATCAGTTTAGGTGTTTAGACTGAGAAATAGTGTAAAGCATAAAAACATATCATGGAAGATTCATTAATTCAAAATAAACACTAGTCTCCACAGTGATATAAACCCAAGTTAAATTGACTGCAGAGCAGTAGCTCAAGATCTTATTAGAGACAATAGCCTGCTGTAGAGTAGTTCATTCCTTTAAAAAACGTTCCCAGTGTTTACACAAAATTGTAAACATGGGTGATGTCTCAGCAGAATGGTTTATCTTTTGTGGATCATTACCAGAGCTCCACACAGGATGCTGGAAATTTAAGGTAGGTCAGCAATACCCAGCAGCAGACTGCATCCAAACACAGAGTTTCTGAAGCTCTGTCATTACCACAAGATGCCATAAGGTATCTAAATAGTTTTACACAGCATGGTTAACTCTAAAGGTGTTTCAGACAGATATTTAATAGTGCACTCATTTTTTAAACATTATACTTTGTGATTATGGGGTTCATTAATGTTCCCTTATGTCTCTCTTTCAAAGCACCTATGTGTCATTTTCTGCAGAAACTGTACATATTACGGTATCTTGAAAACTCTTCACTGACAAATGTGAAACAAATGTGTCTGCAAAGGTAAAATAAGTTTAATTTAATTAATTTGCGTGTTTTTAAGGAATCCACTGAATCATGCTCAATCAATCAATCATCCACTGAATCAAGTGTTGATTGAAAGGAGACTGAAATATTTAAAGTAGATTTCTCACTCTTCACTCAGGTTTATTTCAAAAACAACCTAACACATCTGTCTGAGAAACAATTCATTCCTCTTTGAGTGCCAATGTCACATTCAAAATGTCGAGACTACTACTAGCTGCAATTAAAATTGTCAGAGTTTCAGCAAAAACAGCAAAACTTAAAATCAATAGAAACTGTTTGCATTAATCTGTGCTTTCTTTACGTGATTTCTGTATCAAGCTGAAAATCCGCACTATTACGTTGGGCTGCATCTCTGTACAGTTTCATACTGTATCTTCAAAGCATGCAGAGCCAGAGGAAGAAAAAAAGACTCCAAGAAAGGGGCAAACTGGCCAAAGAGTGGGTAACAGGCACTTTTATTTGCCTCTGCTCTAGAGGTAAAAACATAGTAAAGGGCACTCAAAAAAAAAGGAACCTACTGGAACCAAGGACACTGGGCCGCATGTAGTATTTTGGAAAAATAAAAATGTCCATCATAACTAGAAATTTTAACATAGCTTACAAAGAAGGTACAGTAAACGTCAGAAACTTGTTTACAGTTTTGAACTTAAATTTAATAATCAGGCATTGAATGGGATTAATATGGGTGGGTTCAGTATTTCTTGCTAGCATGTCAGCCATAGCAATGACTTAAAATGGCACTGGAAGTGTATTACACATGGTTAAGTGCTTCGGTACCTCTGTTGCCCCTTGTACATCCACCTATTCCTGTTCACATTGAGCTTTGGCACCTCAACGTTATCACATTAAGCTCTGCTTTTGAATGTATGCTTCTGGGGTTGTTTTTGGAAGAGGATGGAGAGATAAACATGTTCGACCTGGTTTATTTTCTATTTGATTTATGTTATTTGCTACAGAGCATTAGTGTTTAAGTGAAGCTTTACAAATGATAAATTCAGCTTCATTCTTAGGAAACTTTGTTCTCTTGTCTCTTACATATAACAATAGGCAGTAAGATGTGATTGTTATTGGAGCGCTCAGATTACAGTCACGTGTTTGGCCCGAATGGAGCTAAATGCTTACACGTGTCCAACTCTCTTTTCCAAGACATACAAACATTAAATCTGACCAAACCTACCACTAACACATAACTAGTTCTCAACTGCCAGGACACACTACATCTATAAAGAGGAAGCAAAAAGGAAGGCCATATGTTATTTAGGGTTTTTGTTACCTCTGCTAAAAATACTGGTTCTATTTCAGAAACAGAAATATGCTGGAGATGACTTTAAACTTGGCAGTTATTACTAGCTTAGCGTGCCTGTTACAATTGCTAGATAGATAATTGTCAATTGTGCGGCAAGTCGTTGTCGCAGATTGTGTTACTGTTTCACATCTCTGGGGTTCTGGGGTCACGTACGGCCTGGGGTACCTTCTTTGTGGTCTGCATGGTCTCTGAACAGCCATGGGTACTCCAGTTTCCGCTCACAGTCCTAAGAAAACACTGTCCCGGTTTTAAGTGGTATCTCCAACATCTTCCACCTCCACCTATGTGTGTGTTCGTACCCTGAAACAGACTGACACCCCATCCAGGATGTATCCTGCCTTGAGTCCATTATCTGCTGGGTTAAGCTCCAGATCACCACAACCCTGTACTGGACTAAGCCGCTACTGATAAAAGATTAATAGTTTACACTTTACAGTACAAAAGCAGTTGGTACCCACATTTTGTGGAACTGGGCTTCAAAGATTCAACTGAAAACAAAAAACGAGGATTTTGAATCATGGTTGCAGTGTGTACATAACAAATATCAAAAGTACATTAAATACTTTCATGAAAGGACTGCACGCAAATGTGCTTCCTTGTTAAATTGTGGATTAGCAAACAATTGCTTACTTATCTGCCAAATGCAAACTTGTAGCCAGGGCCTTGAGATTGATTGAGATTTTTTTCACATAACATTCCTTTAAACCTATCTCTGTCTAAACAGATACACTGTTTTTTGCTTGACATCTCAACATCGACAGTTTTACCTCTCCAATTGCTCAAGTCAATTTACTGATCGTGGATCTCATTTTACACACATTTAAGTCCTATCATTTACAGATATGTGCACGATCAGTTTTGGTAGTTATTGACATAGATATCCTGACAATATATTTTCGACAGATTGGCAATGCATGCAGTTACCAATAATCCTAAGTACAGTTTTTGAAATAAAAATCAATAATAATAGAAACTTTGAATGTTCAAGAGGGTTATGAGAGTGAAGGCACAATAACCCTAAAATGCGTTTTAAGGGGGAAATGTCATCTTAAAATAAAAACCAAAAATGCAAAAGACTAAGCATAAATTGAGGTTCTGGGCACGCCTCTGCAGATCGCAGTCTTACCTGTCCATAGTCTGTGGTGAACACCACGACTCCGCCCGAGCAGGAGGATACAGTGCAGGGAAGATGCTGGTCATTCTCTCTTAACCACACTCTTGCTCCCTGCAAGACAAAGGCCATGGTGTTCAAGTCACATGACCTTCCAGTCACTCAGCCGTAAGAAGCTTCAGAGCTGCACAGCGGATATGTTCGGAGTTATAACACTGCGGTACTAACGCCCAAGGTGTGTGAACCAGTATCTGTTTTATACAAAATGCAAAAATAAATCCTCTTTGTCATCATTCAAAAATGAAATGCCTAATTTGAATGTAGATTTTGTTATAATTGTGGAGCCTCTTAAAAAAGAGGCTTAATCAAAATGGCATCAAGTTCCCAGCTTAGCTGGTTGAATATGACTTTGACTGAAACAGTTGTATCATCATCTTCAGTGGTAAAAAAAAAACTTAAGCAAATGAAAAGAGGAAACAAACCAAAACATTAATACATCTTCAAAGAATGACTTTATATTACAATATGCAAAGTAGACAATAAAAGCTACTGATAAACCTCTTGCATACAGAGTGTGATATACTTACATATAAAACATTTATCTTTTAAAACCATTAGAACTGGACCAGTGACGATTACGCATTACTGGTCAACATTGAACATTTGCTGGAGCTTTTCATCTGACTTCTGCTTCAGAAAGCTACAAGGAAGATTTTTAAAGCCTACTTCTACATGACCTAAGAATAGTCGTTAATACATGCATTTTTGCTTATGGATAAGATTACAAAAATATGAAGCAGTGCTCAAAAGCAAACAACCATATGAATACAGAAAAGACGACAATGAGAGAAAGCTATTTGGCACTTCTGGCTTGCGTGACTGTTAGTAGCTCACTAATTCAAGGATCTCATCCTTGCTTTTCTTGAAAGCACCCAGGGAATCCATAACACAGCTACGTAGCTTGTTCCAGACAGAGACTGAGTGAAACTTTTTGCATATAAAAATCACATCCTGTTCTTGGGTTTAAAATTGCGTCCTCTAGTTTTAATGTTGACTCAGTGATTTTAGTCTGTGGAAGTAGGACTTTCCTCCAAACCTGAAAACGTAGAAGATTTTTATATCAGGATAAAACGTGATAAAAAAGCACAGGATATTCCAAACAAAGTCTTACTAAGGGGGTCCATAAAAAAATGCAAAATTAATTAACAACAAAAACAACATCATAAAAGTTAAATATTCTATTCAAAATTTACTATTATCCTTGCATCTCATCTGCACTCATACTTTGAATGTGTCCCTCTGCTGTAAAATGAAACATTTAATTTTACACTTACTGACACACTGCAGGCACACTGCAAATTAAATGGAAAAACACTGGAGAAGCAAAAACAAAGCACAAGGATTCTCAGGATAAGAATCCTATGCAGATACAAGTAGAAGCTATACAAATGAACAGCCTCTCTGGGGGATCTAAATATCACAAATATGATGCTAAATACATACAATTTGGATGTTCTTCCGTAAAGTCAATATGATCTTGATTATCCAGACTACACACCATGCTTCCAAACGCTATCAGCTGAGTCTCTCAAACCACCTGTGATAAAATGGCACTTACACCAAAAAACATGTGGACAAAGGTGGAAAACTTAACAACGTTTTATAAAGAACGGCATATCAATCGATAATGAAAGTACATACGTTGAAGATATGTTGAAGCAGAAACTTCCATTTCCAGAGGGGAGCTTAAAAGCACCATTCCTAACATTGATTAGTATTGTCTGCCCATAAATCTGCCGACAACTGGGGAGGAATTAGTTTTGACTGCAACTGTCAGATATTGTTTGAGAAATGCTCAGGTGTGAAAGCATCTGGATATATTAAAGCAGAGCTGTCATATAAAACTGTGTGGCTCAAAGATATCTGACACATGAGAGGATGCGAGCTCGCCCATACTTTGCTTCACGGCTTTAGAAAAGGTACAGTACGGAACTATATTCCACAAATTTCTTTTCTGCAAACAATTACTAGGAAAAACAATCGCTGGGACGGAAAAACTCTGTGCAGTAGGTGAATACATTCAAATAAAGTCCATAGATCGTTTTCTAATTATCTTGGCTTCGACCAGGAAATGAATGGTGTTGCAGGAAGTGATAAGAAGCCAAGGCTGAAATACAGAAAGTCTACTGCTCTTTGCAATGGGATGGGTGCAAGCCACAATCACCTACTACTCCACTCTGTGCGGTGGCTCTCAAAGTCAGCAGAGATGCAACAAGTGCTTGAACTTGGATGTGAGCCGAGATCGTTTTTATGAGCAGAGAACAGGAACCTCACACATCGTTTTGAAAATCCTGTGTCGATTCTGAACTTACTTCTCAGATATATTGGGATACCAAAAGGCTCGGGATCTAAGCACATGAGGCCAAGGAGGATCTGGATTTCTTCCAAATGTGCAGTTTTCACTAGTACAATTTGTCTTTCAGGATGCTCCACATGATGCACAAGCCGCAAATCACAGGCATTTTTGAGCTGGATATTATTTTCTGTATTTTTAATACAGGAAAAACATACAGGGCAGTGATGCAAAAACATTTTTTTAAATCTTTTTGGGGTTGAGAAACAACATTCTCTAAGGTTTCTTATACATTGCTTTCATCCTACCTGTATACATTTTACAGGTCCCAGTTACATTAATGGCTCCCACCCCACCTCAGCCCAGCAGATTGTTAATCACTGAGCAAACTGTCTCACTTAGCAAAACAGAATTCCTGATCACCAAACCAGAATCATTTCCAGAGATGAATCTGTCTCTAATTCTTCTATATTTCTGAACTGACAGTCAACATACAGTAACTTTGAAAAATACATTAATTTAAGATTTATGATGCCTAACTATGGCTGGTAGTCACTGCCATGCCAACTCGGAAGTGTACAGCGTCTTTAGGGTAATGACTCACAATACATGGAAAGAAACCAAACCAAATGGGTTTACTTTACTGGAAAATGCCTGCTTAAGTTCTCAGAATGCTATTAAAGCTTTGTTATACAAAATTAAACAAGATAAGAGTTGTCAGTTTCAGGATGATGGGTTTCTGCTCAGCCAAATTCCACAAAAAGCAACATTTTGATGACCGATACAATAGAAAGCTGGAAAGCCTTTTAAAACATGTAACTCAGGACGCCTTTTTTGGATAAAAAACATCAGCCAAATTAATTAAATTTAACAATAATACTATGGTTGAGTCTGTGATTCTTAAAGAGAATACCCAACGGAGGTAAAAATCTTGTTTATTTTTTTATAACTGTAAAATGTTATGCCATCTTCAAAGGTTTTTCATTCAAATTCTTTCAAAGTAAGTGTGGGTCCAGTATCTTCCCATATTCATGAATGTTCTATTTCCCAGAATGCAAATGGAATTTGACTGCCATCCTAATTTGTCTCTTTTGGTCGTTTCTGAATATCTGTTTTTTTTGTAGTTACAGAACATGCTGAGTGAAATAACACTCACATCAGTTTTGTGAAATTACAGAGGAATGTTACTGAAAGGGGTTTGTCATGCATGCGCGGTACTACAGTTTCTTAAATGTCGAAACCACATGTGCTAAAGACTATGCTCAATTTGTGTCAATGACCCCTTAATGTAAAATCCATATGTTATAGCAGTGTGTTTTCCTTAAAAAATGGATTAGTAACCTTTGACTTCCTCTGACTGGGCTACTAACCTCTGAACCCCAAAGAGCAACGGACAACCAGACTAAATGTTTACCAACTGCAGTACATTCTGAGGAACTAGTGAAACATTTGCAAGAAAAAAAGTCCTGAGAAGAGGCCGACATTTTTTGTCTTACAAGCTAATCAATAAAACATCGACTTGTTGTTCTGAATCACATAAGATAACACTGCCAAAATGCCGTCACTTCTAATGTCACACACACTGCGATAGCCTTTACATGTGTAGTTTTATGTGTTTTTCATTAAACAGATATATGTAGTTCAAACCCAGAAACGAATATTCCAATTTTAACTAAATCTTGTACCATTGCTTAACACTTGACTTTGGACTTTGTTCAGATGATGCTTCAAGCCCATTTCCAAAATGCGATATACTGTACATTGCAGTCCGTATGTATTTGGACAGTGACACACTTTTTGTTTTGTTTTGGCTCAGTACTCCAGCACATTGGATTTGAAATGAAACAATGACCATGAGGTTAAAGTGCAGAATGTCAGCTTTAACTCGAGGGTATTTACGTCTATATTGGGTGAACCATATAGGAATCACAGCCTCACAGTCATTGTTTTATTTCAATAAAACTCCAACGTGCTGGAGTACAGAGCCAAAACAGCACATATTGTGTCACTGTCCAAATACTTATGGACTGCACTATATGCATAATGAAAAATTTCAACTGAAAAATGTAATTTCTATGAATATGACACTGTACATGTTGCAGCACATACATTTTACAGAAGATTACATTCCCCACGTGGGTGGTGCTACGTGCTGAGCATCAAAAGGAACCTATCGCTTAAAAATGCAACAAACACACAAAGTTATTACCAGGGAAATCATCATTTTTGTAGCAGGTGCATTAACATTTTATAAGACAGACATGATACAGGTAAACTGATTATACTGATAATTATTTGTCATGTCAGGGCTGATTAACAGGGGACAGCAGATGATATACGTGTGGGATTCAGTCCTATTCCTTTTGTAAAGCCTGAATAATAACGTGGCTGTTTACTGGTTCCTGAGTTCTAGGTGTCATACATGATCCAAACTCACCCTACAAATATTTAGTTGGACTCTAAAGTCTGGTGAGTAGAAAGACCACAAACTAACTGTCACATTCTTGTTTCAATTGCAAGAATCTCGCTGTTACACAACTAGCATATACTGTACGTTATCTGCTGGATTGTTGTCATGCGAAACCTGTATAAGGGCCAAAAAATTTAGGTCGGAAGATTTGATCAATGTATCACTGTGCAGTCAGGCTTCCATCCTGTTGATGTGTCTATCAGAGGACGGTCCCGTGACTCGTCATCTCCTATATCCTGGTCTACCTTTGACAGACTGTGTCTAGATGTAATGTCTTGCCAGGTAGTGCAA